TTTTAAAATCTAATCAAAGACATACCAGTTAAGGAAGAGAGCACAGAATGTAAAGCAAGTGCAGTTCAATATCTAGCCTTGGCTTACAGCCGGCTAGATTAGTATTTATCACAAGTAGCAGAGAAAGAAAGAGGAGTTTTGAGTGTAAGTGTTTTTTTTTTTGAACTAATATCCGTGTGTTAAGAAGTAAAACAAAGGATTTTATATAGTAGTTCAAAGGTACGGCAAATAAGGTAACAGTACCAACTTTAGTTAATCAAGGGAAGATCACAGAATCAATTACACGAAGAAAATCAGTATAGTCTTCCCTTAATTAAGGGTAATTAACCAACGGTAAGGACAGAAAATATTTAAGAAAAGAAATTCAAATCAAACTTAAGCAAAGAGTGAATAATTAGAAGTCTAATTAAGGAAATAATCAAATAAGGAATCAGTAAATATTATAGGCAATTAAATTAGGTAAGAAGACCAATTAAGGTCATAAACAGGGAAACAATCGAGAATCAGTCAATCAAAATTTCAAAGTGATACTGCTTTCTGGAAAGATACCAACTTCCACAAATAGAAGATAGGCTAAGTAAAATTCCATAAATATAGAGAAATTAGACGGAAAATAATTCTGAAACCCTAATAGGGATTAATTAGGATAAAAATCATAAAGCAAGGAATTTGACTAAGGAAAAGCGTGTAAATCAAAATACAGAATGAACCAATATGACTAGTAACTTTGAAAAGCTCAGAATCGAAGCAAAACATGAGACAGTTAGAGTTTTAGCATAAATCAACTAGGGCTTATGCAACTTTAGCATAAATTAGTCAAGAACACTTAAGAACAAACGATTAAGCATTCAAAAATCAGAAAACCTTTGAGAAGATGACTTAGGGTAAACCCTAGTTTAGGAAAAACGGGAAATCAGTTGAAAACCAGAAAACTTTCAAGGAAAACATGTGAGATATGTTCGATTCGTCTAAGATCTATACAGATCTGAGAAGATCGGAGATAAAAATTAGGGTTTTTAGAAAGTACAATAGAGATGAGAACATAGGCTTAGAAATCATGGATTTGTTACAAAAATAAGATAGATTCTTACTCAAGGTTGAACAAATAGCCTGAAACAGGCAAGAAATCCAAAGGTGCACAACAGACCTGCCTAGGTCCCTTGAAATCTCCTCAAGGATCTAGGATACGGATAAGCCATAGCAAATAGGAGGCCGGTAGAGGCCTGAGGTGATGAAGAAACACCATAGAATAACAGTATAAGCTGGCGATGGCGGGGAAATTAGGGCTCCACTAGAGAGCGTTTGAGAGAGAAGGGGAAGAGTGATGGTGTGGGGAAGGGAGTAAGTGATTAGGGTTAGGGGGTTTGGTTAGTTTAATTATGGTAGGAAAATCCTGGAGCGTTGATCAAAAATGATCAACGACCAGGATTGGCTAAGCATTGGGTCGAGCAGGTAAATGATTTGGGCCTAAGGTTTTGGGCTACTTTATAAAGAGGTGTTGGGTTGGTTATTTAGGCTAAAATTGAAAATAAAAGGGCTGTTTATTAAATACCCAAAACAATTGAATAAAATTAATTTGTAAAATAATTAACTAATTATGAAAATAATTTTCATGCATAGAAATGTTTTAAAAAATAATTTTCAGTATTTTGAAATATAATGGACTAATTTCTTGTAAAATAACGCAAAGATTGTACGCATGCGTTATAATTGCAATAGCATTTGGCTATTTGGAATCATTTTTCTTTTGATATTCTATACAAAATTCTATAACTTAATTAATAAGTCTAAGTAGCAGAAGTCTGTTTCTAAGAAATGATCAAAATAGAAATGATTTTAGAATTTGATTCTATAAAAATTCAAGTTTCATTTTTGAATTAATCTCCCCACCCCGAAACTGACCCACGGCACAACGCCCATTCGCTTCGTGCGCAGGAAGGCAAGAAGTTTAGTTCATGAGACCGCATCGCAGTTTGAGTCTGATTTGGGGAAAACTCAACTCAATGTTACTGGTCAGGTCGTTCCGCGTTCTCTTAAGTCGACTTCTTGGTTGGGAGGTTCCTATTTTCGTTCTGGTTTTTCTTGTTGGTTTGGAACTGGATTCCAACTTGCACATGAGACCTGAGAACGACTCCTCTTCCTCAAAGAACTCTAAAGAGGCCCAGGTGAGTAGTCCGCTGGGAGAGGAACGGGACGCATGGAAAGGAAACCGAGGCCGACACACCTCCTTCGCTTTCGGATTCAAAGCGTGTCCGCCCTTCCAGTGGAAGCGAGGCAGATACCTCTTTTCACTCCTGCTCGTCTTCTCTTTCTTCACCTCTTTTGAAAGAAGTGGATTTTGGGTCACTCACTTCTTCCGAAATAGATTTCTGGAAGAAAAACTGCCTATCTCTCATAAGAGAAGGAGAGCCATTTTTTTGATAGTATATTAATGAGTAGGACTTAAATTCCATGCGCTCCTAGCTCAGAAACCACACACAGACAAAGACATAGAGGCCCATAAAACTCATAAATAATAGACTAAGAAATATACGTGACATACACTTCCTGTGTGAAGTTTTCATCTTAATGAATCAAAGCAGTTTTAAAATGCTACTTATCGGCATAAACGAATCAATTTAGATAGTCCTTTGTGGCTCCGGTGGCGACTAGATCAACGCGTTATTGTTTCAAGAGAAACTCCCATCGAAGTTCACTATGAATCTTTAGGTACTTTTTATGAGATTTATGGACACTACTAATAGTAAGAAGTCTAAAAAAACAAATCCTTTTTATATACATTCGAACCACTGTTGGTCATATTGCTCTTTATCGAGAAATCGAAGAAGCTATACAGGGGTTTTCTCGGGCCAGATAGATGAAGACTAGAAATTTCCAAATCAATTGCTCCTCCAGAATGGCTGGTAATACCACTTAAGGGCGGATAGACCGTCCACCCAGTGCCGCTACCCACTTCTACTAAGGCTGAGCTTAATAGGAGCAAGAGACTTGGAGGCAACAACCAGAATGAAATATTATTTAATCGTGGAAATGCCATGTCAGGCGCACCTATCAGAATCGGAACAGGCCAAACTAAACTATGGCCTTACTGAACTTCTCAAACCACGCCCTCTGGGATTGCTTCAATCCATACAGGGCTTTCTTCAATCTGCATACTTTATGTGACTCCCCTTTCATTCCATGTTGTTCGAAACTATCTTACTTTGAAAGGGGAAGTCGGCGCCAACAATCGAAAAACTATTGGGTAAGTCGTGTCGCGCATCAAATCTTTCAAGAGAAAGAAAATGCCCTTCAGAAAGGAAGAAAAAGCGTAGAAATCAAACTCCTCGGGTGCGTTTCTGGCAACGAAATGAATGCGGAGCCCGTTCCGAATGCTTCTACGATCCGGAAGTTCTCGCGAAGAGAGCTTATTTTCCTTCTCAACTCAAGGTGATCTAAATATCATGTCTACGACCCTCACCTCCCCGGAAAGCGCCTTCGTTCTGCATCAATTGTACAATAAAATATATCTCGATTGGACTAAGGAAGAACAAAAAATCTTCGCTCGATGATTATTTAATTTCTCCTGTTACCTTGTTTTAAAGCTTGCAAGGATGTTAGGCTTCGAATGCTGTTAGGACAGATAAATTGGAAAGCTAGGACGAAATAGCCTACCTTGAATACAGAATACTAGACGGACGCCCACTTGTACGTAATAGAATAGAAATCAAGGCAAATTCCCCTAATGGGAGTGAACATAGGGATTCCCTGACGAACGAATGCAATACATGGAAGGCTTACGGATGTAGTATTGGACAGCTTTACCTACGATATTTCCTACTCTTACTTTTCATACAAAGAGAATGGGAATCCTGGAAAACTTGGAATGATTACAGAATGCTTACCGGCTTCAAAGTGGAATTGATGTGCACCCAATTCCACGGACATTGTTGATATAGTTTGCTACTACTTGTGTAGCTTGTTTTTTATTGCCGCTTACTCTACTCTATTGGGTAATTTTAGAGTGTCTTTATTGATATTTCCTTGACATGATTAGAATAGATTCATACTCAACATGACAATGATGAAAATATCTTTGTGAAATTTCTGCAATTTCTCGAAATCTTTGAATGAATCTTCATTTTGGACAGTTCTTAGGCTACCCTAACAGACTTGTGGGAATGTAACTCTAGGGAAATGGCCCCGATGCATGTAATAGAGAATAGGCATGCTTGCCTTACTTGAATCTGCGTTGGGGATGGGATTGCCTACCTGTCTAGTTAGCTTGAATGAAATTTGGACTTAATAGGACCATAAATAGTAATATTAAATCAGAAAATATTTTAAAAATCATTTGTGATGCCATTTTATAATTATTTATACAAATAAAATACTAGAATAAATTAATTTAAAAATATATAAATTATGGAAAAATATTCATTGATGTTAATGCATAGTTTTGAAGGTATATATGAACTTTAAAATATTATAGGGAAAAATTGGGTATCCACAAGAAGATACTGAATTAGCTCATGTACAGTGTTTAAGCTAAGATCAGGGAGCTAATAAAATCTAAAAAAGTATCCATACTATTAACAGGAGTATGGAAGTTCCAACTAAACATGCTAACTAAACAGATAGCTTTTAAAGAGTGTAATGGAGTTGAGATTCCATCAAAACATCTGTGGTTCCTTTCATTCATTAAGTACCAAAAAATTGTAGCTGGGATCATTCTCCAGATCCTCTTGATGACTTTATCAACTCTCCAAAAAATCTAGCTAACATATGCATCTTTGATGTGGAAAGGCATCACCCATGCTAAGCCAAAAATAGAGTAGAAGAAATTCCAGATGTCACCTGCCATTGCGCTATGAAGAAACAAATGGTTGACACTCTCTGAATTTTGCTGGCATAGATAGCATCTGTTAGCTAGTACAATACCTCTTCTTCTTAGTTTATCTTATGTTAAGCAAGCTTCTCTAAGAACTAACCAGGTGATGCAAGATACTTTGAGTGGTTGTCTAGTCCTTCCAGACATGTTTCCAAGGCCAGTCCTCAAGCATCCCATTCTGTGAACATAGGAGGTTATAGTTGGCCTTGATTGTGTACTTTCCTTCTGTTAAGTTGTCCCAGATGAGTCTATCAATTTGATGCTCTTCAATTTTGAATTCTTCCAATGAGGATAATAGTAGAAGCAGATCATTAATTTCCCAGACTTGGAGGTTTCTTCTGAATAAAGGATTCCAAATGTTCCCCTCCCTGTTGTGAGCAACCAATGAATTCTCACGACTAGCTATCTGATATAATCTAGGATATGGTTCTCTCAGTGTTGTGTTACCAATCCATTTGTCCTCCCAAAATTTTACATGAGAGCCATTGCCAACTCTGTATGTTATTTTCTGGAGAAAATCAGTACGAAGAGACCTGATATGTTTCCATAGTCCCACCCATGTGGGGCATTGTTTTCTTTGGTGCACCACTGGTTTTGAGCTCCATGCTTTGCCATAATGACCTCCTTCTAATAAGCTGGTTTGGGCCGCCCATACCTCCATAGCCCCTTCATTAACACGCTTTTGTTATGGAGCTTTAGGTTTCTGAGTCTCATTCCCCCATCAGATTTAGGCCGAATAACTTTGGCCCATTTCACCAAAGGGAATTTGTGAGTTGTGTTATTACCCTCCCATAGAAACCTCCTTCTCAATCTGTCTAGCTATTTTAGAACTGAGCTTGGCATAGGGTATAAGGATACACAGTAGGGATGATGTCAAGGACACTACTAATTAAAGTGAGTCTGCCACCCATTGAGAGATACTACATTTTCTAAGTTGTGAGTCTTTTTTTCACTTTTTCTACAATATCACTCCATACTCCGATTGATTTGTATTTAGAACCCAAAGGTAAGCCTAGGTATGTTGTGGGGAGAGATCCTATTTTACAATACAAGATCTCTGCCAATTCTTCTAGGTTGGAGACTTTATTGATTGGGTATATGGTGCTTTTAAGCATATTGATGTGTAATCCAGAAATGGCTTCAAAGATGAGAAAAGTGAGATAGAGATGAGATACTTGGAGTTTCTCTACTCCACAAAAGATCAGTGCATATAGCAAATGGGAGACAGTGACTGATTAGCTGGATTTCTGCACACTTGAAATCCATGTATCCAATTCATTTCCTTGGCTCTGACCAGCATTTGTGTAAGGCCCTCAATGGATAGTAAAAAGAGGAATGAAGAAAAAGGATCTCCTTGCCCGAGGCCCTTTTGTGGGGAGAAAAAACCTACCGGACTCCCATTCACAACACAGAATACTTCACTGAAGAAATGTTGAAATGAATCCACCTAATTCATATGTCACCAAATCACATCATCTTCAACATATTGATAAGGTATGACCAGTTTAATTGATCAAAAGCCTTCTCAATATCGAGTTTGCACAGTAAGCCAATTTCCCCATTTTTTATTCTCCAATTCAAAACTTCATTTGCAATTAAGGATGCATATGTAATTTTTTATTTTTGACGAAGGCACTTTGTTGACTAGAGTCCAGCTTCCTAATAACTCTTTTCATTCTTTCAGCAAGGATCTTCGCCACTAATTTATAGACACTGCCTATTAGACTAATTAGTCTGAAATCCTTAAGCTCAATTGAACATTTCTCCTTTGGGATGAGTGCTATGAATGAAGCATTACAAGATTTAACCATATGACCATGTTGGTAGTAATGGTTAAGGGCTCCCATGAAGTTTGACTTGAGAACCTCCCAGCATTTTTGAAAAAATGCCATGGTGTAACAATCAGGGCCTGATACTTTGTCTGGGGCATAGGAATTTAAGGCTGCAAGGACATCCGGTTCCTCAAAAGGAGATTTCACGTCCTCTCTGTCATTTGAGCTAAGTGTGTGTAACCTTGTAAATTCTAGTGAAGGTCTCCATGCTTCCTTCTCATTGTACAAATTCTGATAGTAGCTTAGAATTTCCTCTTTGATCAATCCTTTATCTTCAGTTATCTCCTCTCCCACTTTGAGTCTATCAATACAGTTACCCCTTCTCCTTGAGTTTGCCATTTTTTGAAAGTACTTTGTGTTTCTGTCTCCTTCCTTCAGCCATAGACACCTGGACTTTTGCCTATAGGAGGTTTCCTCAGCAATTGCCAACTTTTCAAGTTGAACGATTTCATCTTTTTCTCTGGTGTTTAAACTCTATATTCTGCTGTTTGCTCTAGTAACTGCAAATCAACAAGAGCTTTGTTCCTTTTGGTTTCCATGTTATCGAAGATTTCTTTGTTCCATCTAGTAAGATCCTTCTTTAGGCTCCTTAGTTTTTGGAAAAAGATGAAATCTGGGTAGCTGGTAACTGAATAAGATTGCCACCATCCCTTCATCTTGTCTAGAAACCCCTCTGATTTGAGCTATATATTCTCGGATTTGAAATAAGAAGGTGTAGTTTCCCAATATCCACTCTTGAAAAGGATTGGCTTATGATCTAAAATTACTCTACGCATAGCAATTTGGTACACATTCTTGAATATTTCATTCCATTCAGTTGAGAATAGAAATCTATCAATCCTTGATGCTTGTAGAGAAGCCTCAACTCTTGACTATGTGTATAAAGCTCCCTGAAGTGGTGGATTAATCATACCTAACTCTTGGATTGTGTCTGAGAAGCCCAACATAGCCCTGGATCTTTTTACACAATTTAATCTCTCACTTTCAACCTGCATATATTAAAATCTCCACCAATTACCCAATTGTCAGACCACAACCCCCTGATTGTTTCAAGTGCATGCCAAAGAACAGTTCTTTCAGGGTTGGTGTGAGGACCATACACTCCTGTGAATAACCAATTGAAATCTTCTAATAAACTTTTGAATCTGCAGAAGATTGAAAAGTTCCCCACTTCAGAGTCTACACAATTCCAATTCCTTTTATCCCACATAATTAGGATCCCCCTTTGCTATTATATGCCTTCAGTTCAGCCAATGCCACCCATCTATTCCCTCATATTTGACTAATCAAGGAATTGCTCCAATCCTCTATTTTTGTTTCTTGTAAGCATAGAATATCTATCACCCACTTGTGTACAAGGGATTTTAAAGTACTCCCTTTATTCTTCCTGTTAAGAACTTGTACATTCCAACTTAGGATTTTGATCTTCATTTAGGATGGATCTTTTGAGACCTGTCCGTTTCTTTCTTGCCATTGTTGCTGCCCTCTTGTAGACCCCAAACCAATTTCTTAAGCTCTGAACCCCTTTTAGACTTCCCTTTTTTGACTCCACTTCTGTATTTGCTTGTTGTTGCAATTGGATCTTCCTTTTCTCCTCCATTCTAAAGATTAGCCCCATAATGTCTGATCTGAAGCCTGTAGCATGTACACCGAATGCTTTTCAAGCTTTCAGCAGTGCCATTTTCGTCCATCTTGAGGTTTCCACCACTGTAGGTGTGTCCACCATTTGTATGCATGATTTAGATTAATCATATGTGTCATACCATGGAAAAGGGAAGAAAATGTTGAAAGACTTAGAAGAAAATTCTGATTCCGAGCCGGTGACCCTTGGGGATACTGTTTTCATGAGCAATTATGACAAATTAAAGCTAATTCATTCTTCATCATCGGCATCAAATTGGAGTGGAGAGTTTTGTCAAAGGTGATGTGGTTAAGCGCTTGTATTTCCTCTGAGAATGGGTCGAATTGATTCGTCAGATGAACTATTGAAGATTTGTAAAGACAAGGATCGTAGGCGTAACCTACTGCTCTCTAATAAGTAGCTGGCTTGGGCCTTGAGTATCTTTTCTTCTTGGACAGTTTTGGGCTTTTTGCATAATACCCAATATTCATACACAACTTTTGCTTCCCTTTTTTCTCCCTTAGTTTTATTTGGCTTGTGTTGGGCCGGTTTGCCCCATCTGTAGATTGATGCTCCAAATTGTTTGAATTAAAACCTGTCCCCTTCATGTGGGCCCTCATTGACTAACTAGTGGATGCAATGTCACAAGCAACTGCAGAGATCAACTTTTTTGCAAAAGATATTGTACCCAACTCTGGTTTGGACTGGTGGGTTTTGGGTGTGACCGGTTATATTTAAGGATTAAAATTTCAAAGCTCCAATCCCCAACTTCGATGAACATAGTCACCGGTGGCTTCTTGCCAGGGTTTCTAATACAGATTCGAGCCCAATAGAAGTGTGTTCTATTTTTTTTATCTTCGTCTATTCCAACAAATCTACCACACCGTTTTCCTATGTTTTTAAAGGTGGCTAATGTCCAAGCATGCAGAGGGATTCCAAAGACTTTAACCTAGAGGTTTTCCGATCTACTTCATTTTGAGATTGTGCCCGTTGTTGGTGACCACCAATCCAGAAAAAGGCGTCTGCCATTCCAAAACCATTCACCCGCTTTAGTCCTTATCGCTTCCTATCTTGAAGGTAGTTCAAAAAGAAATTTGTTATGCTCTATAGGAGTGACTTTGAGACAAGTTGTAGTTCTCTATCTAGTTATGAACCACTTTTGGATGGTCTCACGATCTGAGCTGAAGTTGAAAGGATCATTAAAACTTCCAACTAAGCTTCTGGCTAATGGATGATTGATCTCAATCGATAATGGAATCGAAGTGACTGTGGGGAGATCTGACCAGCTCTCAATTCTGGTTGCATCATAGTAAGACGTATCCTGTGGTGGTAGTTGTATAGGAATGGTTCTTCTATGATTCCTAACAAAGTGTAGGATTTTTTCTACTATATCCACCCATCCGCTGTTGTATTCTGCTTCCGGGACAATCACCATTTTTTTCTTGTCTCCTTGCCATACTTCTATTCTTAAGTATCTGCCATCAAGCAAGAAGGAGGAAGGACTTCTTTTCGCCAATGGATCACTTAGTCGGAATAAGCAGGCTTCGGTTGATGTGGAATAAGCCATTTTCCCCCTGTTTTCATGGAAAGGTGTCGAAGGAATATGCACATTTAGAGCTGTGGGACTTGAAGGAATAGAATGTCCTATATGTTGTAATTGTTTTTGGTAACAAAGGGAAATATTCATATATATTAAGTCATTACAAGGACATTGGATGTCCCATTACAGTTGCTTTGAGTAGATAGTACACATAGGTTTCCAAAACTAGCAAACTTAGTAGACATAGATATGAAGATTCTTCTAGTTGACACACGTCTTTTTTGTCTGATTATAAGGTTGAAAATACAGACATCGGCGGATAGTTTAAAATATATATATTATCACTTGATTGCTTCTTAGACCCTTCATTTGCCAAAGCATGCGCTACTTTGTTTCCCTCTCTGAAGCTATGCCGGATGACTGGATTCCCCAACCTCTTCAAGTGAGACCTGCAAGAGTTAATTAAATTATTAAAAATAGGGATTTTTTTATTTAACAGTTCAATTACCTCTATAGAGTCTATCTCAATTTCCACCGGAGTTAGTTGGTGGTCTATTACTAGATGTAACTCATGCTCTAAGGCACTCAACTCGGCATGAGTGTGGTTGAGTGCACAAACCTTTTTGGAGAATCCTATGACCCATTCCCCATTTGCATTTATTATAAACCCTCCAATACCACCAGTCTTGTCTTTAGCGTAGAAGGAGCCATCCGTGTTAAGCTTAAAGGATCCTGGAGGTGGAGGGAACCACCTGACATGGATATTTTTTGTAGGGATGGAAGATGTGGAAGTCCCTGTACAGAACATGTACTACATAGCGCGCATGCACACAGTTTTAATATCAACCAACATGTTAGTTTTATTAAAGACATTATGGTTCATGTTTGTCCAAATGTGCCACAGGGCAAAGGGAAAGAAAACGTCCCAGGATAGAGGGTAGTTAAGGATGGGAATATCCATTTCCTTAATTAAGTGAAGCCAATGAGCATGGTGGTAGGGGATGGTAGTGATATTTAATCCAAGGTCCAACCAGAATTTTCGTGGAGTAAGGCACTCAAGAAAAACATGATGGATGGATTTTGAGGGATGCTTGAAAATGGTACAATTAGAGGTTACATTGACACCTATATGATGTAGATAGCTATTTGTTGGAAGCTTATTATGGGAACAAAGCCATAGAAAGAATTGGATATTTGGCAATGTATTTAGAGTCCTTATCCAGTTAAAACCATACTTATGGTCAGGCGATGGATGGATTGGGTTATTAACTGACTTTGTGGAAAAAATGCCATTTGTATTTAACGACCAGTATGGGGTATCAACCTTATCCTGGCTCAAGGAGATTGTCTTAGTTTGATTGAGAAACTCTTGTGGGATTTCCATAGAGATTCTTGACCAATCCCACTGGAGGCCATCCCAAATGTTGTGTAAACTAAGTGTTTGGTCCTTTTGGGTTAAGGGACCTTGAATAATTGAACAGAGAGGTGGTGCATGAGGAATCCATCTAGAGTGCCATAAATCGATGCTAGTTCCTGACCCTGGATCCCATGCTATAGCTTTAGAGCATATAGTACCACCCTTTACAATATTTTTCCAAATAAAGGAATGGGAGGAGGAGGTGCTTTTTGGACAGTGTTTTTTAATTAGGGTTTGTGCCCAAAGGAAGGTGGGTTGAGAGAAGAGTCTCCAAGCCAGACTTGTTAGTAAAGTCATGTTTTTATCATGGGCTTTTTGAATGCCTAAACCACCTTAGTTCTTTGGTAGGGTGACAGTGTCCCAGTTGATATAGTGAATCTTCTTCTTTTGAGGGGTAGTGCCCCATAGAAAGTTCCTCTGGATTTTATCATTATTGTGACAAGTTTTTTTAGGAAGAAGGAAGTATTTCATGGCATATACAGGGATGGTATTGAGAGTAGATTTGATGAGAGTGAGTCGCCCTGCTGGAGTTAGGAAATTAAGTTTCCAGTTAGCGAGGTTGCTTTTCATATTATCAATAATGTATTGGAAATCATGGGGTTTAGGTTTATTATTCAGGATGGGAAAACCAAGATATTTACCAAAAGTATTGGTAGATTTTATTTTTAAAAGACTTTGAATTAATTCACGAGGAGTTTCTTGGAAACCCTTTGAAAAAATAACCCTAGATTTGGTAGGGTTAATTTTTTGCCCTGATAGGG